TGATGAGTCAGCAGTGAGTACAGTTACTTGATTCTGTTTCCATGGCATCCAGGTGAACACATACCCTGACTTCCTTCCTGGTCTGAGTGAACACTGGGCTGTTTCCATCCACCGTAAACCTGGTGCTTGTGGGATTGATGTCATATCTCTGAAAGCAGGTGTTCTGTGTGGGCACGGGAGCTCACTGTGGATCTCCCAGCTGGGGCATGGCCCCCTCCAATGTGGCAGGGAGCTCACCGTGGATCTCCCAGCTGGGGCATGGCCCCCTCCTATGTGGCAGGGAGCTCACCGTGGATCTCCCAGCTGGATGCCCCCCACCCCCTATGCCACATGCACAGCCCCCTTCCATGGGTCTCTTCCCTCAGTGCCCACAGTTGGAGGCCCCAGCGCCTCCTCTGAGGTCCATCTGCTCTGAAGTGGAGAATCTCACTTTGCTCGCTGCTTCAGGAAAGCGTTGGGAGAATCAGGTGAGAAACCAAGAGCCCAGAGAGCGCCCCTTGGAACCAGTCCTCCTTCCCTGGGCACTCGGAGGCCCCCTGCTGTGGGGAAGCTGACAGCTGCCCCTGTGGAGCCCGCGCCTACAGGCAGCGGACGGTCCCGCGACTGATTCCTGCCATATCCAGCCCCCCACTCCTGAGCTGAGCTACATTCTGTCCACGTTGGACTAAGTCTTGTATTTATTTTTTCCTATCTTCTTTATTATCATCCCACGGAGTTAGAAGTTAGAGTGGTAAGACTTCATTTTGAAAATTAGAATTAAGATGGGGAAGACTAAGAAAATTTTACAGAAAACCATGCACACATTTATTTTAATAAAGTCAAAGAAAGGGAAATCTCCCCGGCTTTCGTGTTATGATTTTCTGGGAAGTCGATGTAGGTTTGAATTAGTATCGTGAAACCATGTGCTAATAAAGCCGCGTGCGCACCCCTGGGAGAGCAGGAAGCGTGGCTGCCCTCATCGCATGGCGCGCCCTGGCGCTCATTGTGGGAATTGTTATTCTGATGACGAAGGGATACTTGTTTATTGTGGGAGAATATTTTACAACACAGAAGTCAGAAGCAAAAACGTCTCACCTTCCCACTGAGCGCTCGCCACTGTTCACATGGCATGTTGCACACACAGGCTGAAACACGTGTGTAATGTTGTTCCCTGTGCACAGAGGGTGCCAACGTCTTTATTACTTTCACTCCTGGTGGACGGCACTGCATATGTTGCTTTGAATCGCTCTCACTTCTAGTAACAGAAACCCTACCGTAAGCAAGTTCCACCCGGAAGGAAGGACGCTAGCGCATGGCACGGGAAGTCAGGCACAGGAAGGGGAGCAGGGTGGCCCACGACACCATCAGGGGTCAAGGTCAAGGACCCAGGCACTCCCTGTTCTCACTGTCCTGCCACTGACACCATCAGCTCCCTGCCAAGGCCGCTCCCCTCGCGGACATGACATGGCCCCCACGGGACAGCCGGCTTCCTTGCCCGCAGGTGGAGGAGGGAGAGGAAGCTGGTCCTACCAGGGAGCGGAGGGCCTGCCCTCGGTCAGGTGAGCCTCACTCAGGTGTGGCCGCCCCAGAACCAGGGGGCCCCGGGGACCTGCCACAGGCCACAGGCTGGCACAGGCTCCCTCTGTGAGTCCCTGGCAAGAGGCAGGAGACCACCACGATGAGCGGAGACTCGGGGCCGGTTCCCCACACTGCATTGCGGCTCTGACACGGGGAGACTCGGGGAAGGCGTTGGGCGTCGGCGTCAGCCTCGGGAGCCTCCTGGCCTCACTGAACCCTGAGCGGATGGAAGGGTGTGTGCGGGGTCGCTAGCTTGCCTCCTTATCGCTGGCTCGTGGCTCGCCTCTCATTTGGTCCCTCCTCCTGCCTCGGTCTCAGCTCTGCCTCCCCTCGGGGTTCCCGGGGAGGGTGGCTCCCAGCAGCCCCTGGGACAGCACCTTTCCTGGCTGGCGTCCAGCAGAAGTGGGAAGCCCTGATCCCCAAGCCTGGCTCTTCCCTGGGGTCCCGTTTCGCTTCCCCAGTGTTTTGAGCGTGGCCAGGGACCTCCACTGTCCTCGGGGGATCAGGGTCAGGACCTGGTGCTGGGGTGGGCGGTGTCCTCACCACAGGCCCCGGAAAGTGCGGCCCAGCCAGCGCAGGGCTGCGGGGAGAGGGCTCGGAGCAGGGAGCGTGGCCACTGCGCTGCCGTCAGTGTTCCTGTGGGGACGGCACGGCGATGGTCAGAATCGGAAATTAAGCTGCACGCGGTTAGATACCTTCATTTTCATTTGAAAATCGGGTTTTTAAATAGGAACGCTGTGTTCAGAGAGAGTAAGTTTTCTGATTAAGCTGATATTCTCCAAAGTTTGGGCATTTTTGTTGTATGTTGTTGGCAATAGGTAAGTTTTCTTCGTGAGTTTTTACTTAAACTGGTACAGAAATGAAAAACTAAAAGAAAAAAAAGAGCTTAAAGATGTAAATGATAATAAGTGAAAATTTTAGTATTTTTATTCTTAATGTACTTTTTTATTCTTCAGTACCCTTGAAGCGATGCCATGTAATAGAGAGAAGCGATGAGCATTTTTGGAGAATAATTCTGAGAAGTAATAGGCATACTTGAAATCACGCTGGCACAAATCAGATGTAAAAGCAAAAAGTTACTGTTTTTAAATTGTACCATTTAATGGGTAACTTCATGTGTAATAAATATTCATTTTTAATTTTAGGTGCCAGTGTAACATATACTAATGCGAAATGGAATAATTTTTATGGTTCTCTAAAGGAATCTATAAAGGAGTCATAAATATTACAGTAAAACTTTAAAAAAATGTTTTTATGGGACTAAAAATTGAAAACTTCCTAATAGAGAAATTTTCTTAAATGAGAAATGAGGTAAGTTAATCATAGAGACCTCAAACTGTAATATATCCTGCAGAAACCCTGAATAAGCAGTACCTGTAAGATAATTTTATATGATGAACAAAAATCAAGGGTTTTTGAAAAAGCTTTCCAAAAGGCAGCAGGAAGGAAAAGAGGGTTTTACTAAAATTTCTCCCGAGAGGTATTTATTTATAATATATTTTAACTGATTTCAGAGAGGAGAGGAGGAGAGAGAGAGAGAAACATCAATGATGAGAGAGAATCATTGATCGGCTGCCTCCTGTACACCCCCTACTAGGGATTGAGCCCACAACCCGGGCACATGCCCTGACCAAGAATCGAACTGTGACCTCCTGGTTCTATAGGTTGATGCTCAACCGCTGAGCCACGCCGGCCAGGCTTTCTCTTCTTTTAATAGGTGACCTGGTGAGCGTCTGTGTGTGGTGCAGGTGGCAGAGCGCTGTGTACATGTGAGAGGGCCTAGTCCTCCCTCCCCTATTGCTCCCTTGCTGTGCCACCTTGGACAAACACCTTAACCTCTCTGAGCTTCAGTTTTCTCATTTCTAAAGAGAGAGGGTGAGTGGGTCTGCTGGGGTCCAACCCCAGCAGGTCCAGGGGTCCCCAAAGGTGTGGACGGAGTCGGCGAAGAAGGAATGACACAGAGGCAGCGTTCAGTTGATCAGCATGGTTGGGTTCTCTTGCCTGGTTCTATTGCCAGGTTCTGTAGGTTCTCCAGCCAGGTTCAGTCACCAGGTTCTAGTCAGGTTCTCTTGCCATGTTCTAGCCAGGTTCTGTCTCTAGGTTCTTCAGCCAGGTTCTCTCACTAGGTTCTGTCTCTAGGTTCTGTGGCCAGTTTCTGTCCAGGATCTTTTGCCATGTTCTCTCCAGCAAAGTTCTTCTGTCTCTAGGTTCTGTGTAGGTTCTGTGTCTAGGTTCTGTGTCTAGGTTCTGTATTCTAAGTTCTGTGTCCTGTTGTCTTGTTACATCTGTATTTATACCAGTTGATTCCAATCCTATCAATCTCTATTCCAAAGGTTAGGGCGTTTCTTATCTCCATTCCAGGGAGTAAAGATTATGTATCTTAAGCATGATTGTTCGTAGTTAAAGTGGGGTACAGGTGAAGGGCATGGGTCCTGGAGTTGTGATTCTGGGAGAGCCGTGCCCACTGCAGCTTTCCTCTATCCATCCGTCTAGACTGGGTGCCCAAAGGCCCCGTGAGGCCTCCTGGGTGGTGGAGAATCACCGTCAGTTCACGTGCGGGGTCCAGGGCCTGGTGGTCCAGGCCCCATGTGAAGGGTTTGGTCAAACAGCCCCCACGGGAGAAAGGCCAACTTTTTCCGGAATTATTCTAGCTTGGTGTTTTTTAGGGTTTTTTTAAAATATATTTTTATTGCCTGACTGGTTTGGCTCAGTGGATAGAGCGTCGGCCTGTGGACGCAAGGGTCCCAGGTTTGATTCCGGTCAAGGGCATGTACCTTGGTTGCGGGCACATCCCCAGTAGGGGGTGTGCAGGAGGCAGCTGATCGATGTTTCTCTCTCATCGATGTTTCTAGCTCTCTATCCCTCTCCCTTCCTCTCTGTAAAAAAATCAATAAAATATATTTTTAAAAAAATATTTTTATTGATTTCAGAGAGGAAGAGAGAGGGAGATAGAGAGAGAAACATCCATGATGAGAGAAAATCATTGATGGGCTGCCTCCTGGACGCCCCCTACTGGGGATCAAGCCGGCAACCTGGGCATGTGCCCTGACTGGGAATCAAACCGTGACCTCCTGGTTCATAGGTCGATGCCCAACCCCTGAGCCACGCGGGCCGGGCTAGCTTGTTTTGTTACAAACTCCCGGAGGAACCTTTGAGTTCTAACACACCCTGGATGCGTATGTTCCAGATATTGTCTTCCTCCCAGCTGCGGGCAGGACAGATGTGCAGTGAGTGCCTGGGGCTCGGACCTCCGCAGCAGCGGGCCAGCCGGACCGAGAGGCCTTGCCCATGTCCCTGAAGCCGGGCTGCGATGCCCGTCTGCCCTTCCGGAGCCTTTGACCTTTAGGCACCTCGGGACGTCCGTGTGCAGCGGCCTCGTGAGTCGAGGTGTCTCACGGGTAAGCGGTCCTCAGGGCCCTGACGCTGTCCCTTCTCTGACACAGAGCCATCACGCGGGAGAGTCAGCTGGTGATCCTGGCGGCGAGCGCGGGCGACGCGGGGGCGTACTACGTGCAGGCCGTCAACGAGAGGAGCGGCGAGAACAGGACCAGCCCGCCCGTCCACCTGAGCATAATCCGTGAGTTCTGACCCCCGGGGTCCTTCCGGAGCGGGAAGATGGGGTTTGTGAACAGCCCCTGGCCATGGGCCACTTGCTCTGCGGGAGGTCTCCTGCCGGTGCCGGCGGAGGTTTGACACTGACCGAGGTCCATGCTGCCTTTGGCGGGATGGACTGACACTGAGGGCACACCTCATCATTTTAACACAAGGGCTTGTTTTTTGGAGGGAGTAAAAGTATTTTGGCTTCCGGACACTGCTCACGTGCACTGTCTAACAGCAAAACTCCTTTGGCGTATAGGAACTGAACCGGTGAATCATGTTGGAGACTAGACTAAGCACAGGTTATGTTCTTTTCATTCAATAATAAAACCCTTGAGAAAATATTTACCAAATATAATCATGTTCAAATTAGCAGCATTTCTTAAGCATCATCCGCTGATCACTTTTTGTACCTGATTTAACTGAATCGGGTAGAGAACACACGCAAATCACAGTTACGTGTTCAGCTTACGGGAGCACATGGTAGTTTGAGGAAGCTTAGTTAGATGTTTGGCCTTTGAAAGGCTCCAGAAATTCTGCCACAAGAGTGTGTTGCTGGAGGAGGGGAGTGACCACCAGCGAGAACCCTGAACCAAGGAGATAGGAGCGTGGGGCGGGGGCGGGGGGGGGGGGCATTGCCAGGTGTGTGCAGCGCGAGGCTGCACAGGGTGACATGCAGGACGGTGCTGTTGGGCACACGCAGTCAGGAAGGGGCCGTGGAGAATTGCAAACGATCGCGGTCACGTCGGAGAGGAGCGGAGGCAGTGGGCCTGTCTGCGCGCACGGGTCTCGTCTTTCTCAAAAGCACCGTGAAGGCTGGCTCTCCCCGGCGGGGACTTGGAGAGGGCTGTTTCGCACGTGGAGCAGGATCCAGCGTTTGCTGCCTGTGGTCCTTGAGGGTCACGTGGCTTCCAGGGGGGTTTCCTGAGGGGACGTGGGTGGCAGACCCGGGGGCAGTGCCTGGGAACCATCTGAGCGCCTCCCGTGCCCGCGCGTCCCCGGCAGGGCTCCTGGTCAGCCGGCCGTCGGGGTGCACGGATCCCTCGGGAGGACTGAGCCCGACCTCCAGGCTGTGGACTGAGCTCGGCCTTGTTGGTGCGCGAGAGCTCTGCCCGGGTCAGCGCGGGTCCGAGGCCAGGCCGTGCGCCCTGCGCTGCCGTGTAAAGGACCTGAGTCAGAACCGTAGTAGCGATGGGTGTGGTTTATCGAGGCTTTTCCAGCATTGGTCAGAAAGGGTGGAAAGTGCGTTATCACATAGGTTGTAATTACTTTAATGATTTTCAAGCTTTACCATTATCCTGTCCAGCAAATCGGATTTGGCGCTAAATGGTCATATGCATACAGGGTAGTAATAGATCCGATTGGGGGGATTTTGAGTCAGAGCCAAGGGCGTTGGCCTCGGTCCGTGAGGACGCACAGACACTCTGGTGACGCGGTGCGAACAGCGCGGAGTTCGGAGGCAGCCGCGTCTCGGCCGTCCCTACGTGCCTGCTCGATCGAGGCCGGACCCGGCAGGTTGCCATGCTGGCGCAGTGCCGTGCGGTAGATAATTGGAATATGCAAATTTTTTCAGTAATTTTAGTTTCTACTCCAAGAAGTATATTGGAAGCAGCTCATAAATATTATAATTAACTCCTTTGCATTTCATTCCCTTGTATATTTTTATCTTTTCACGGGCACCAGGTAAAATGTGTAGAAAGAGACATAAAAGGAGGTTGAAGGTATGGACGAACTTATTTCACATCTTAGGAGAAAGCCTACATTTCGGTCCCTCGTGTAGTCTCTGCTCTTTTACCGGCTGGGCAGCCTGTGAGGAGTGGGGAGTGCGGACACAGCCTTGTTTTCATTCTTAGGAGAACTTCCTGTGGACACACTGGATTCAGCTCAAAGGGAAGCGGCACCGATTATGCATTTCTCACAGGAGTTCTGTTTTGAAAACCTCTGAAGTTCAGAAGTCTCGATAAGTTTGCAGAAAACCCCAAACCATGTGTGTGTCTTGCTCCATTCCAGACTCGCGCGAGGCGAGGGCTCTGCCAGCGCGGCTGCGGGCTGGTCCTGGCCGCCAGGGTCCCCGGGGTCAGAGACACAGGGGGCACCCCCCCAGGCTTGCCGCGAGCGCCGTCTCCTCCGGCTGCTCACGCTGGTCCAGGTGCAGGGGGTGCTGCAGACTCAGGGTGACAGAAAAGAACCACCGAACAAGATCGATGACTCTTTAAAACTCGCCAGCCAGCATTTCTGAAGAACCCAAAGACATCACAGCCAGTTCTCACTTAACAAAGATAAATTTGGCCTCGGCATCCGGAGATTAAAGTAGGGAACCTTGCTGTGGTGACCACGATCGGGCTGTAAAGTACTGGCGATGACATTTCTGGGGGATTGTCTGTAATGAATTTAAACGCGGCCTGCCGTGGCCCCTTCTCATTTCCTGTCACAGTGACACACCGTCCCCTGCAGGGACGGCCCACGTGGATGTGGAGCAGCTCCCATGGCCCCGCGTGGTATCGGGCACCTCGTGCGTGATGGGCTGTCCCCTGGCTACGGGAGGAAACCCTGCACAAGGCCAAGCACCTGTGAACGGGAGAGTTCACAGCCTCACCCCTGCTCAGCTGCTAAGTATTCTGGCTACACTTGAAGCTGGTGGGAAGGAAGCAAAAGAAAAAGAGGATTTAGATTAAAATAAATAGTTTTCATTGATTGATTGATTGATTTCATAGAGAAAGGAAGAGGGGGACAGAGATAAGAATATCACTGATGAATATCGGCTGCCTCCTGCACACCCCCTCCTGGGGATTGAGCCCCCAACCCAGGCATGTGCCCTGACCGGGAATGGAACCGTGTCCTGCCGGTTCATGGGTTGATGCTCAACCACCGAGCCACGCCAGCCGGGCAAGTTTTTAAACACGTGACCATTAGACATGAGATGCTGACTATTTAAAACCCACCAGCCAGCCAGCATTTCTGAAGAATCCAAAGATATTCCAGCCAGTTGTCATTGAGAGGACCGCCCGCTGCTCTGTGGGTGTGGCATGGACCGCCCTGCCCTGAGCTTCCCCTCTGTGCGTTGAGAAGATGAGGCCGGCAGGGTCTGCACGGGAAGCAGGCGCCTTGGGGACACGCCCTTCTCCTGCCCCTGGGAAAGCTGTGTTCGCTTTGAAGTGTCCTGTGTCTGTGCCGGGAGCCCCGGTGTTAGGGACACCGAGGGGAGGGACTGTGTCTGTGCCGGGAGCCCCGGTGTTAGGGACACCGAGGGGAGGGACTGTGTCTGTGCCGGGAGCCCCGGTGTTAGGGACACCGAGGGGAGGGACTGTGCCTGTGCCGGGAGCCCCGGTGTTAGGGACACCGAGGGGAGGGACTGTGTCTGTGCCGGGAGTCCCGGTGTTAGGGACACCGAGGGGAGGGACTGGGAACGTCGCAGGAATTTTTCATGCTGGCTCCCCGCTCAGATGCACCAGGAGGAGGAGGAGGACACTGGGCTGGACTCGGCTGCGCGGGCGCTTCCATGCTGAGGGGAGCCCAGGGAGCTCCATTCACCTGCCCCCTGTCCTCGGCTCCGCTTGGCCGGCTTCTCACCGAGACCTGGCGGGTCGGGTCATCCCAGCTGAATGCAGAGTGAGCGAGCTTCCTCCTGGGAAATATCGAGGGCAGAGCGAGGCGCCAGGGAGAGCCCTGGGCACGGTTCATCGGCTATTGTTCAAAGGCCGCGTCCCCAGGCGCTCGCGGGCTCGGACCCGACATTCCAAATGTCCCGGGCAATGAGTCTCTCCGAGGACGACGCTGATTGAAACGGAAACGCCTGCCTCTCGCCTCCTGTTATTTCATTTCATTTAATGTCTCCTCTTCAAACAGCACCGCAATGCGCTCTCATTCCCACCGGGCCCCTCCTTCTGGAGACACTTGGCAGCGCTGTCCTCCGTGACGCTCCGGTGCCGCGGCCTCCGTGTGCGCGGAGTGGAAGTGGATCCGGAGGGCGATGTCGGGGCGAGTCTGAGCACCTGTGCGCCGGTGGAAGTCTTGCTCACTCTGTGCCTCGCGTTCAGGGAGGGGCCTCGGCCTCGCCACTGCGCCCGCGTGGCGGGTTCCCAGAGCCGGCGCCCGCGTTTGGAATATCACTGAAGACCCGTCTGGGGACGGCGTCCGCATCACCAACAACCAGTGGAGAATCCAGCTCTGGCTTCGTGGGCTGTGTGGGCCTCGCCTCCCAAGACGGGCGGAAACGTAACAGGAAGTGTAGCTGCTGTGGGGCAACCAGTTTAACCACCCAGCTGACCGGCTGCGGGGCCCTCTGGCCCGGCCCCCCGGGCGGGTTCCGGACAGAACCCAGTCTGGGCTGCGCCTGCCTCCCCGGCCGCGAGCCTCGTGCATCAGCCCACCCTCCGTGATCGGTTCTGTGCGCCCTGCAGCGTGTGGTCCCCGCGCCGGCGAGGAGGCGACATCCCAGCAGCTCACCCATCTCGCGCTCAGGGCTGTTCATCCATCTTTGTTCAGTTCCCAGCTCAGGGCACAGTGTTCGTTAGGGAGTGGGAACCGGTGTTTTACCCAGGCTGCTAAGGAGGTTTCGTTCGGGGCTAATCCTAAGGCCCCGTTCACAGAGGCTCGTGTGTCCCGGTCACACGGCTGAGATGAGCACAGGCCGGGACGGCTGCTGCCGACCCCTGCGTCTGCAGTGCCCCCGGCGTGCGCCGTAGCCAGCCACCTGCTCCGCTCAGCGCTGAGGGCACAGGTGCACGCACGCACCTTCCAGGCAGAGGGCACCCGGCCCGTGGGGAGCTCTGAGAGCAAAGACGCACGAAGGCGCCCTGTGCCCCCACGCCGCTCTGAAAGGAGAGCTTGGAGGGCGGCCTTGTGCACCGGTGCTGGCGTGGCCACCTCCTGACCCCCGATCTCCATAGCAACGGCGAAGATTAGAGTTCTTCTTGGGGCTTTCGTTCAAAACATAAGTGAAAATGCCCCTCTAGCGACTCATTTCTCAAAGCCGGGAGC